TACTATTAATCTGGATTGGATAGAAAGTTATAACCATATATGAGTCTATATTTTCCGGTTGGTATATGTTTTATTTAACTTTCTAATGTTAAATTACAAGTTTTACTTGAAGATCCTGAATTTCTCACACCTATAATCAACCATTTTTACTTAAAATTTCCCATAATTTTGATATTTTGCGTCTTTATCTTGCCTCTAATTACCATTGACTTTTACAGCTTGGCCAACTAGGGGCCGCCAAACGAGATCTACAAATAGCACTAAAAATAGCTCCTGGACTACCTGAAGCTCACTGGCAACTCCATGTTCTTCGACTGGTTGAGATGCGCCCTCAAGATGCCCTCCGCGATATTGGATACATAATTGATGCAAAGACACCTATCAATGACAAAATTATGTTTCCAAGCCATATTCCGCCTGATTCTACTCGTTATGAAGAAGAAGAAGCCACAAACGCAAATAGCACTAGCAAAGAATATCAAGGATATTCAATAGCCTTGCCATCCCAAGAATCAACAATGCCTATGTTTAATCAGAATGATGCGGACAACACAGTACAGGAAAGGGATATTACAGAAGGGACGATAGCTTTAACTTCCTTCAACAGAATTGTCGAAGCCCATAGGGCTCAGGGACACATATACAGCAGCCTTAATGAGTCGGCCCTGGCAATTGACAGTTATACATGTCTAATTAAGCTTCGGCCTACAGACGCAAAAGCCTTCCTTAAACGGGCCGCCGAGTATGAAAAGGTAAAAGTGATACTAATGAAAGCTTAATTGTGTAATTCTCTCATAAACCTATCCTTCTAACGAAAATGGAAAGAGGGAGTCTGTTTTTTTTTAGGTTTACGAAACAAGTATACTCTGATTTATCTCTGGAAATCTTGTGGGCCCCTTACTCTCCTATTTTATCTTCAGAGACCTTAAAGCCACTAAGATAAATCTCCAGCTTTAACAGATAACTATAAGAGTCTATCGATTGGAAAATTTTTCATTGTCAACTTTCCACGGAGAAATTAAACAAGCTTTTATCTGTTACTGATTTCTCTCCTAGGCTAAATAATTTTTAAAGGAAATTAAATTATAGTTGTCTTTGTATCTAGATAAATTAATGTATTTTAATCTTTGTTAATTAGGCAGGCTAACGCCTAACTACATTTTTTTATCCCTGTATTTTATGTCAATAGTGCGGACAAACGAGACTTGCCCTGGATGATTACGCTATTGCTGTTC